ACAGTGAACCTATGTCTGAAAACAAAACAAAACAGGGGCTAGAGAGATGGCTCAGTAGAATAAGCACTTCCCTGGCAAGCACAAGGTCTAAATTCAATCCCTGGTTGGTGGAGGGGGAAAGAGGGAGGAAATTCACAGTGAGGTTAAAAAAAAAAAAAAAAGCAGTAAACTGTAGAGCACTGGAGCCAAAAGATTAAAACAATTTTTTAAAAAATGTCTGGAAAGAAGTGGCCACTAATCCAATGAATCAGAAAAAAATGAGCCCCGGTCTCAGGCCTGCTAACTCCTTGCCTGAAGGCCTCTCTGCTCAGCACCCCTCCTCCAGGCAGAGGCCAAGCCCTGCCTTAGGTATGGAAGGAGTGTGCTGCAGGGAGGAAGGAATGGCAGCTGAGGGGCCGGCCAGGAGTGGAGGGCCAGGAACCCAAAGCAGGGATGAACTGGGTGGGAGCTGAGCCCAGCGGAGTGCTACGGAGAAGGTTGGAGAAGGTTCGTCTCTCACGAGGAGACAACTCCGCTGCAGGAAACGCTGCTGGGCTCAGGATAGCGGGAGTAGAGTAAAAAGTTACTCCACTAAAGTCTTAAGTTTATACAAGGCGTGGTTTGAAAAGTGATGTGTTTAGGGCCGGCCAAACAGCTCAGCAGATTAAAGCGCCTGCAAGAAGGCACAAGGGCTCCGGTTCCATCCCCAGGCCTGCCTAGCCAGCCCCACCGTGGGGCAAGTGCACTGAGATAGTGATTGAGACGGCGTGGTGGCTGCAGCTGTAATCCCAGCTCTTCAGAGGCTGTAAATAGGTGGATCACTACGAGCCCAATCTAGTAGTGAGGCCCTGAACACCCTGTTGACCCTTCCCTAAAAATACAAAAAAAGTGTGTTTAAATTAATTTTTTAAAAAGTTGCTAGGGGGCTGGTGAGATGGCTCAGTGGTCTAAAGCACCTACTTAGAATAAGCTTAGCAAAGCACAGGGACCACGGTTCAATCCCCCAGCACCACATGCCAGCCAGCCCCGCCCCCTGGTGGGCTGAGCTGGCCACACACACACATAAATAAAATTTAAAAAAAAAAAAAAAAAAGTTGCTGGGGCCAGGAAGATGATTCAGTGGAGTAAGTGCTTTCCTGGCACAAGCGCAAGGGCCTGAGTTCAATCCTCGGTTCCACCAAAAAAAAAAAAAAAAAAAGTTAAAAAAAAAAAAAAGTCTAGTAAAAGACACACTGCCACTAATCCTCCAAATCCCTCTTTGCTATGAACACTCTTATCTCAGCACTCTTTTTTTTTTTTTTTTTGAGACAGGGTCTTGCTATGTAGTGCAGGCTGGCCTTGAACTCACTATGCATCCCAGGTTGGCCTGAAACTCACGGGGATCCTCTTGCCTCAGCCTCCCAAGTGCTGGGAGGACACCACCATGCCCGGCTACTATTGCCACTTTCTAAAGTAGCTCTAGAAGTCCTTTTGTTATGAGTCTTTGGCTGTGCTGTCATGACTGCCTTGACTTCTGAACCGGTTCAAAGTGTTTACTTTTCATGTTCGTTCTGACTTTGGGGAACTGCCAGAAGTTAATCAGATCCAGTGAATCAGGTGGATGGTGCACACCAGGATGCCCTGAGGACCTGCCCTCCCCCACGGCCCAGGGCAGCAGTGCTGCTGTGGTTTTGACTGCATCTGCATCTCCTGCTTGCTCCTGAGAGGACGTCCGGAGCTCCTTCACAGGGGCAAGCACGATGGGCTGGGTGGGCTGGAAGTGAGGGGAGCACATTCATGGAGACTAATGGCAGTGTCTTTACTGCAATAAATTTTTAATATTTAAATATTCACTGTAGGGGCTGGAGAGATGGCTCAGTGGTCTAAAGCACCTACTTGAAACAAGCTTGGCAAAGCACAGGGACCGCGGTTCGATCCCCCAGCACCACATGCCAGCCAGACCCGCCCCCTGGTGGGCTGAGCTGGCCACACACACACACACAATAAATAAATGTAATAAATAAAAATAAATAAATATTAAAAAAAGATATTAAATAAATATTCACTGTATACGCCAATCACCCCTTGTACACAGAAGTATGATAAAGGCCTAAACTCTACCTCACTTCAGAACACATTAACTAAAAGAAGAGAGATGGATACTTTAAAAGCAGTAGTAGTGACTTCCCCTTGGCTGTATTATAAAAATGGTTCCAAAATTAAAACACAAACTCAAAGTACTAAGCCAGTAAAATAAAGCTTTTTTAAAGCTAAGGAAATTTATGTTCTATCTATATAAAACCACTTGAACACCTTCATAAAATGTTTTCAGTCTGTAATGATTTCTCAAAACTGAATCATTTCCCCCTCTGGTTTTACTGAAGAAGGCTGTCTTGAGATAAGCTTTTCATAAGCTTATGTACAGCAACCACATTAGAAAATATTAAAATATTTTTAGGTTCACTTTGGGAAATTCTAAACTTCAAAAACCACTCCCAATTAAAATATGACCACTTCAAAGAGACAAGGATAATTTCAAAGTTCAGACCAGAACAGCTTCTGATAGAAGCTGCTGCTACAGGAGCCATAACCCAGTTTCGTTCTGAGTGTGATGTTTGCTGCCCTCAAGCGAGCTGAGACTTTCGAGCAAGATTCTTTCATAAAATGCCTGCTAACAGGTAACACGGGCGGATCAATACATTTTCATGCTGCACAGTATCCCACCACCTTGGTTTAAGGGAAGAAAGGCACGCTCTATGAACACACACACAGCCTACTGATACCTTGCCACAATTTTAACTCAAGACTGAGCTACACGACAGGTGCCGCCTTCACAAGAAAAAAAAAAAAAAAAAATCACACATTAATTCTCTGCTACTTGCTTCTTGGCATAACAACTGCTTAGTAATAATGTAAGCTGGAGAAGCTGATGAAAGATATTCAAATATACAAAGGTTTTCCCCACATGGAATCTTTAATTACCTTTTCCCAAAATACCACTCTTGGCGTTGCTTCGCGGCAGCCGCACGCTTAGTGGCACAGAAGCCCCTGAGACCGCATTTCTGAACGAGCCACCTGTTTGCTGCACTACCTCCCTGTAAACTCCACGGCAGTTACTTTCAGAATATAAAATCATTAGTAACAATACACAGTTTAGACACTGGTATTTTCACCACACTCAAATGTCTAAAAAATGATCATGTGAGCCGCAAAGCACCAAGCCCTGGAGGGAAGGGACAGATGCTAGCTCAGAGGAGTGGGTGGAGGAGCCATGATGTGGTGAGCTGACGCTTATGTAATGATTCTCCTAATCTAAAGAATACCTCAACTTCACAATGTATGTGCTACAAGTAGATACAATCAGCCTAAAGCCTTTATGTTTTGATTGCTTTTGTTTTAAAATAACTTTTATTGGCCAGGCATGATGGCTGTGAGACCTTGTCTCAAAAAAATAAAACAAAACACTTTCATCACATGCCAAACCCTGGACATGGTCAAGGTAACCAACCAACATGACAAGGCAGATTATCTGGAGATCTGGAGACACCTGAGTCTAATTCCCACTCATCAATTTAGGGTGAAGAAAAATTTTAATTACTAATAAGGATTTTGATTATGTCTTTAAATATACTTTCTCTTTCCAGAATCAAATAATTTTCAGACTTGGTTATACCAATGTGAATTTTACATCATGAATTTCAATAACATCTTCAGATTGATCACACAAACACAGTTCAAAGAATCACTCCCTTCTACATTCCGAACTTCTGAGAGAAAAAAAAAATCTAAACTTCACAAAGTTCCTGTCAGATGAGTGTTAGTCTCTTCATGATTGACTAAAAGATGCATCTTTTAGCCAACAGATCTTTGTCTCCTCCATTCATGAAGAGATGAAATCCCGTAATCCCGGCTACTTGGGAGGTTGAGGCAGAAGGGTTGTCCGTTTGAGGCCAGGCTGCATAATTTAGTAAGGTCTTGTCTCAAAATAGAATTTTTAAAAAGAGCTGAGTGCATGGCACTTGCCTACCACTTGTAAGGCTCTGGGTCCGATTCCTAGTACCATAAAAAACAACAACAACAACAAAAATTCACTGCATACATAGTTACTATGCTTGGTTTTTCTGAAGATAAAATCAACCAGGCAACAGATGCTTTTTTTCTGTGTGGGGAAGTGGATGTGAGGGCTGGCGGGAAGGAGCTTACCCACATTTTCTCATTTCTTTACAATGAACATTATTGTTCATTTCTACAGTAAGCAAGACAATTTACCATGAACTTAAAAAAAAAAAAAATAAAGAATTCATCAAGCTCATTCAGAGCCAATGCCTAGCCCTTGCATTTATTTTTTATTTTTATTGGTTTTTTTTTGAGACAGGGCCTGACTCTAGAGCCCAGGCTGGCCTCGAACTCTCAGTGACTTTCCGGCCGCAGCCTCCCAGTGTTTGGAATCACAGGTGTGTGGTGCCACACTTGGCTTAGTACTTTCATTTAGATACAGAGGATCATGAAAGGAAATTGAAAAAATGCAAACATAATTTTAGGAACTCTTAAAAAGCTACACAAGGCCTTGACATACTAGCAAGCTTTTACTAAAACTCATTAAATATTTACTAGGCCAGAGACACAGCCACAACCACAGCAGTAGGACCTGTCATCACAGGAGGCTCAGCCAGTCCAGTGATGAGGGTATGGCCACCTGCCCTGACTTATACTTATGTCCCCCTAATTTCCCAGTGTGGACAAAAGTTATGTGCTTAGTCTATTTATTGAAAACAATCTACCGGGGCTGGTGAGATGGCTCAGTGGTCTAAAGCACCTACTTAGAACAAGCTAAGCTAAGCAAAGCACAGGGACCACGGTTCAATCCCCAGCACCACATGTGAGCCAGCCCCGCCCCCTGGTGGGCTGAACTGGCCACACACACACACACACACACTAAATAAATAAATAAATTAAAAAAAAAAAAAACGAAAAACAATCTACCATTCTTGTAGGACTAGATGTGTATAAGATATATATCAGCCCTGTTCTCCTTGTTCTTCAGCGCTTACCCTCCGTGGTTCCTTATTACTTTCTAATCTCCAGGATTTGAATTCGCTGCCATGTCTTCTGAAGAAGGGAAGCTCTTCGTCGGTGGGCTCAATTTCAATACAGACGAGCAGGCACTGGAAGACCACTTCAGCAGCTTTGGCCCTATTTCTGAGGTGGTTGTTGTCAAGGACCGGGAAACTCAGCGATCCCGGGGTTTTGGCTTCATCACCTTTACCAATCCAGAGCATGCCTCAGATGCCATGAGAGCCATGAATGGAGAGTCCCTGGATGGTCGCCAGATCCGTGTGGACCATGCAGGCAAATCTGCCCGGGGCACCAGAGGAGGAGGTGCTTTTGGGGCCCATGGACGTGGTCGCAGTTACTCTAGAGGTGGTGGGGACCAAGGCTATGGGAGTGGCAGGTATGACAGTCGACCTGGAGGATATGGATTTGGTTATGGGCGATCCAGAGACTATAGTGGCAGAAGCCAGGGAGGCTATGACCGATACTCGGGAGGGAATTACAGAGACAATTATGACAACTGAGCGGCTTGTAGACATGACATGCACAAGGAATAACACTTCTCATCCAGGATCATCCTTCCAAATCGCCGTATAAAGATTTTTGAAGCCGTGCTGAAACTTGATTAGTATATTTACTATTTTTTAATTGAGCTCCCAAGGTATCTTGTTAAAGACTTTTTAGAAAGCTCTGTGTTATTTTAATTTCCCCCATTTAAAGTCAAATTTCTGAGACATTTGTAGAGTTATGGGGGTTTTTCCTTATAAAAGTTTTTAGTTTGGACTCTCAGGATCATTGATTCTGGCACACAAAAAAAGTTGTGCCAGACTCATGTTTTTCTTTTAAATCATGTATCTGGGGTTATTTTTAAAATATATATGCACTTAATCATGAGTAGAAAAATTTTTGAATGTACCTGTAAGCAGTCTGCATCAAGAATATGATTGCCTAGAGTTTTTTTAATTAAATATCTACCATCATGAGTGTAAGAGCTTCTTGAAAATGTTTGTGAATGTCATTTTTTTTTATATACTGGAAGAAAAAATATTCTTTCGTGTCTCGTGTTTGGAATGTCCTTCAGAACTGATTAAAAAGGTGAAACCTCAAAAAAAAAAAAAAAAGATATATATCATCTGAAGGTTTTATCTTTCTCTTTAACTTCAATTTTATTATATAAGATAAAACATTAAACTTCTTTTAGATATTCATCTCATTCTGATATATACCTGATGTGTACTGGAATTTAGAAATGCTTTAATCAAATAAGACTAAGTAAAATCAGATTTATCATATCAAAATATACACAAAGTAAATAAGTTTTTTTTTTTTTTTTTTTTTAAACAGAGCCTTGCCATGTAATTCAGACTGGCCTTGAAGTCACTATATAGCCCAGGCTGTCCTTTAACTCTCAGCAATCCTGCTTCAGCCTCCTGAGTGCTGGGGTTATAGGTATGTGTCACTATGCCCAATGATGAACTCTTAAAATCAAGTTCCTTGAAGGCAGACAGTTTGGGTTTGTTAGTTTGTTTCAAAAGGAAAGGGGGTTTCACTAGGTGGCTGGTCTCAAACTCCTGGGCATTTATTTTTACAGTGTTCTTGTTAATAAATGAAGAAAACAAAACAAAAGTAAAAATGATGAAAACACAGAACCAGGTATTATTTAACCATAATCCAATTAAGACAGTAGGCCTAAAAGACAATTTTCAGGAAATGAAAGGAACTGAGAAACATGTCAAATGACACCACAAGGATGTAGGCAGCAGACAGGACACAGACAACGATGCACAAGTGACCTGAATCCCCCAGTAGAAAACTGCAAGGGCAAAGGAAGCATACAAACCAGCCAGATTCATACATATTAACCAGTCACTCTTCTTTGGACCATAGTTCAAACAAACTGAAAAATAACTGAGTCAATTAGCTAAGGAATATAAACACTGACAGCATATTTAATGATGTTGAGAAAGTTTGTTAGTGTGATGTTATTGTACTTGTCTTCTTAAAATAATTTAGATTAATAAATAACATGATATGATGCCTGGAATTGCTTTAAATGTGTGCAGGGCAGGGTGGGCAGGTGTGACAGTGGGTGTGGATTAGAAACAGGACTAGCCCAGGTACTAATGTCCGACAGACAGGTATAGTAAGTTCACACTCTTTTCTTCTCTAAAATATAAAAAGGGTTGTATTTTTCCCAAAAGCAATACTGCCTCCCTTGAAAGATCAAAATAATACCATTATTTAGAAACACAGGACACTATGACCTGACAAGAGAAAAAAAGCATTTATAACTACAATGAAATCTAATCATTTGATATGACTAAGGGATGAAATGAAGTAAAGTGTCAGTGTGAAAATCCCTCTATATTATAACTAAGTTTGTCCTATACCACTTATATTTCATATGTCTAAAAACATATGCAACATAGTATATTTCTGAGTTAATAAAAATTCAAAATAGGATGGGGGCCGGGGAGATGGCTCAATGGAATAAGCACTTCCCTGGCAAGCGCAAGGGCCTGAGTTCAATCCCCGGTTCTGCAAAAAAAAAAAAAAAAAAAATTCAAAATAGGCTAACACTATAATATTCAATAACGGAACTTAGAAAAAATGGGGTATACCGATGAATTTCCATTTTGTATCTGTGTATTCAAAGTGGTTGGGATAGATATATAGTTGCCTTCTCTTAATGAATAGAATGATTTGCTCTAGTGGTGTTTGTAAATAGGATCACAAGTCCGCATCTTGTACAGCAATTAGTCACTAAGAAGAATATATGCAGTGTATTATTTGTTGAAACTGTACTTCATTTGATTTGAAACTGTCTCATTGCTATCTGTTTATCAATAAAACTTTGAAAAATAAAATAAAATAAAATAAAAACAAAATAGGCTAATACATCATGACTAAAGATATAAAGGAGGGGCCAGGGAGATGGCTCAGTAGAATAAGCGCTTGTCTGGTAAGCACAAGGGTCTGAGTTCAATCCCCGATTCTGGGAAAAAAAAAAAAAAACCATAAAGGAAAAATGAAACATGTTAGAAGTAAAACATTTGCCTAGTGAGGTCATCCCTCAGTCAGGGTTAGAGTTCAACTTTCTAACCTTGAAGTTACTACTACACCCCAAACATGACTTTGCTTTTAATAATAAAGGGCAGAATATAAAAATAGAACCACAGATGTCTTGTCTTACAGCAGGTCTGGCTACAGGCAGGGTTCTAGGTGTGAGCTACTCTTGTGTGCAGCCGACATTTCCAGTGCTAGAGTTGGAGCTGCTCCACACGGTTCCCCCATGGACACACGCCACCCTTGGGATCGCTGGGGAGAGACTGTTCTTCAAACAAAGGGATGTGTGTCCCCATGGCAAGGCTTCAGAGGGGGCTCTTTAAATTCACTGCACTATGAAGTAATGGATTCTCTCTTTGGGGTCAGCCAGCATGTGTTGCCAGACAGTGGGCACAGGGCCTGAAGCATCTCCCTCTGGGCAACAGGATTCTCAGCCCCAGGCGCAGCCCTCCCAGCTCAGTGCAGTCCACCAGCTTCCTTCTCTGCGTCACTCCCTCGCCCAGCAGCAGATCCCAGCTGGCCTCAAGCGGAACTGTGCACCTCAGCAGCCAAAGTCTCGGACCAGGCTCCAGGCTCCACCCTTTCCCTCATCGTGCTATCTAATTCAGCAACAAACTAAGGTCCCTTGTTTTTTGTTTTTTTTTTCTTTTTGTATTTTAGGGCAGGGTCTACAGGGTGTTCAGGGTCTCACTAGTAGATCGGATTCGTACTGATCCGCCTGTTTACAGCCTCCCAAGAGCTGGGATTACACGCGCGTGCCACCACACCCAGTCTCAGGTTCAGCTTTCAAAATCACCCTGTCCTCCATGTTCCAACTGATGATACAACACCTAGTTCAGGTCCTCATCACCTCGAACCCAGTCCATCAGAATCATCTCTGCCGCCTTCTTTCAGGCCACCCTCCACGAAGAGATCAGAATGTGGACTGTGGGCCACCCTGGCTACAAAACCTTCAGCAGTCTCTAGGGCCTTGGACTAAAGCACAGCCCCTCAGCAGGGCATCCACGGCCCTCCACGACCTGAGCCCAACGTCCTTGGGCATGGAGCCCAAAGTCCTCCTTTTCCTCCCACCTAAATCCTTAAACTATTTCTTCAACATGTTTTGACTTTTCCACCTCTAAAATGTCACTGTAGGGGCCAGGGAGATGGCTCAGTGGAATAAGCACTTTCTTGGCAAGCATAAGGGCCTGAGTTCAATCCCCAGTTCCACAAAAAAAAAAAAAAATTAAAATGTCACTGTGCCATCTCCCCAGGACCTCTTCCTCCCACCCTCAGTGGATCATAGCTCCTAGCTCCTAGCTGTCCTTTGGGACCTGGCTCCAGTGTGCCTCTTCCCTGAGCAGCTCAGGATGGCTGAGGCAGAGCCGTTTCCTCACTTAACCCTGTCTAATATGGGGCATCTCACCAACAGACCAAGGCCTAAATGCTACGTTTTTTCTATAAACTGTCTCTCCGACTACAAGATATTAGGCAGAAGGGAAAGGAATATGCATGTCCTATGCCACCTAACACACTGCTCTGGCCAAGGCATGCCCAGGCCACACAAGCAAATTCAGGCCCCGAGCTTAACCCGCTGCTTTTTTTGATATACAGCACAAACGCTGTGCTGCTTCTGCATAGGAAGAGGCGCCTCAAACTTGGCATATATTTTCTCATGGAGCTGCCACATTACAGCAGTTTCTATCTGCTGCAATACTCAATAAGATTTTTTTTTCTGTAAAAAAAATAAAGTGGTTGGGCAGGTGGGAAAGAGGGGCGCTGGGGATGTAGCTCCATGTAAAGGCACTGGCCTCAATGCCCGGGCTGCAGAAGAAGGTGGTAGCTAATGGGCCCTTTAAGGGGTCTCTCTATCTAAGTTGGAGGAATAATGACCTTTTTTTTTTTTTTTTTTTTTTTTTTTGGTGGAACCGGGGATTGAACTCAGGCCCTTGCGCTTGCCAGGGAAGCACTTATTCCACTGAGCCATCTCCCCGGCCTGTGACCTATTCTTTTGCTGCTGCCAATTCCTTCCTCCTCTGCCACAGATTGAACTGCTTAAAAAATGATTCAAATTAATGAATTCAGATGTCACAGTTTGCTTCAGGAAGGACCCTTCCTGTTAGTGAAAATATCCAGGTACTACCCCATGGGAACCGGTATTTACCTGGGGGCAGAGCTCTTGTCTCCTTTAGGAACTACAATATATTTAAATTTTTAAACCATGCTGCCTAAAAGACTCTCTTCCACGCTCTCAATTAGCATCCAGCTCCCAAAGTTCCCAGGTGGGCAATTCCCCGGGGCTCCAGGACCAGGGGCCAGGGGTCTGTGGGGCCCACAGGGCACTGTTGGAGCCATGTGCACCGCTGGCACAGGTCCTGCTCTGCCAGGCACCAGGAGGGGGCGGGAGAGGGCTCCAGCCCTACCCTCAAGCGGCCTGGGGCAGAGCTGTCTGAATGTCAAGATAACTTCAAAGATACTAATGTCAAAGATAACTTACATTTGTTTAAAC